ACCTACAAGATTTAACATTTGAGAAATTTCGTAACAATTTCCCTTACCGCTTATTTCTGCACACGCGAAAGTGGAAATCTTTAGCAGGCAAACGTTTGCTGAACGGAACTCACAAAACGCGAAAACACATTGGCTTCTCTGGTGTGCGCCGCTACTTATTGTCTCTACGCGAGACATTATAAGCGAAAGCGCTGAGCTCAGTCTCGTAACTCGTGCGTCTAGTTCGCGTATCTCTCAGAAAGGTGTAATCAACAAGTCGCTTTCCTTGCGGCGACATCATTTAAGATAAATTTTGATGTAAAAAAAAAAGAATCACCTAGCCGCATTTCTAAGTACTTTGATTTGGATTCCGATGTGTTTGAAAGCTTATAGACAAGCAATTCCTAGCAAACTTCCCTTTGCAATTACAAGACGCGGTTCAGAGGGAATGCGGATAACTAAAGTAAACGACCAAACAGGCAACAAAGACAGCACTTTACTGGAAGGAAGAAATCAGGAAAATCAGCCCGGATCATCTGCCCGCAGCTATTAATTAATGCTGCTTCGGATAAAACAACTATGCAACGACTGTCAGCTACACCAGCAACAACGACGCGCTCGAGTGCCAAAATGATCAAATAAATCCAGCAAAAATCGCCTTGATTCGCAAAACAATATTGAAACTGAATTTTCTGAATAAGTCGAAGGAATCTCAGAACAAACAACAAACACTAAGTTTGCTAATCGAAGACAACAAAAGATTAGTGGAGAGATGCGGGGAAGGAATTTGGATGAGGTCAGCGCAGGGCAGGCAAGGAGATGTTCAGTTCATGCACTGAGTAAAAGGCGATGCGAAGAAACGGCCTTGTTCACCTCATTTGCGCAGGTGATGAAACTTGAGGGACCACCCAGTCAAGCAATGAAAATGGATGGGAAACAAACAAACAAATATTTGCACGACAAATAAACAAACCCAGACAGCGATGCAGCAGGCTTGCCGCTACGAACATGCGCTTTTGCGTGACTCCATGCTGTGAAGAGATTGCCTTTACTACAGGGTGTGACTGCGGCGCTGCAATTTGAAAATTTGATGCGCCTACCCAATACTTACGTCTAGACGCCTAGACAAAGCTCGTCTTACGCTTGATGGCCCGAATTAAATGTTCACTCGTGCCCATGCGTCCGATGTATGTGCGCCACCTCCCTGAAGGTACAGCTCACCGATGAGACACCCAGTGGCTCTCACAAGACAAGCAACATGCCACGCTCATCGAGCTCTACTTCTTCAATTGGTCCTGCACTTCGCTCATCTCGCAGACGTCCTCGTGAAGGAGGCCATGAACGGATACGCCAAGCATCCTTCATCTTCGAAAT